TGGGTTTGGGGGGGGTTTGGGGACCCCCGGGTGTCCCCCCAGGACCCTCCCCAGACCTTTTTGATGTGGTGGAGGCGCACGAGGACCCCCCGGCCGCGCTCGTTGAGCAGCGTCAGCTTCTCGGCCAGTTTGTCCCCGTACACCGAGGGCAGGGACATGGTGGCACCTCGGTGGTGGCACCTCGGTGGTGGCACCTCCCCCCCCCCACCCACCCACGGTCCCCAAAAGGCCCCAAACCCCAACTTCCCCTTCCTGGGTTGGGCCTGATGGCGCCGAGGCCACCGGGGCCACGTGACGGGGCCGCCACCGCCCTGTGACACCGCGGGGACACGGGTGGGGACACCGGGATGGGGACACTGAGGTGGGGACACTGAGATGGGGACACGGGTGGGGACATCAGGGATGGGGACACTGAGATGGGGACACCGGGGACAGGGACAACAGGGATGGGGACACCGGGATGGGGACACCGGGGATGGGGACACCGTGATAAGGACAGCAGGGGTGGGGACAATGGGGAGGGGGACAACAGGGATGGGGACACGGGTGGGGACACCAGGATAAGGACAGCAGGGATGGGGACACAGGTGGGGACAGTGAGATGGGAACACTGGGGATGGGGACACTGAGATGGGGACACTGGGATAAGGACAGCAGGGATGGGGACAGCAGGGTTGGGGACACCATGGATGGCCGGTGCCATCGTGCCCTGACACCGTGGCTGGGTGACACTGATGGGTGACACTGCTGGGTGACACTGCTGATGGGTGACACCAGTCTGGTCCCATATACCCCAAACTGGGCCTGTTTTGGGGTCAAATAGCCCCAATCTGGGCTTGCTTAGCCCCAGTCTGGGCCCTATAACTCAAATCCAGGCCTTTTGATCCCAATCTAGGCCTGTTTGACCAAGTCTGGGCTTTATAACCCCAATCTGGGCCAATTTAACCCAATCTGGGCTTTATAACCCCAATCAAGACCTGTTTTACCCAATCAGGGCCTACTTGAACCCAATCTGGGCCTGTTTTACCCAATCTGGGCCTGTTTAACCCAATCTGGGATTTATCACCCTAATCTGGGCTTTATAACCCAAATCTGGGCCTCTTTAACCCAATCAGGGCCTATTTGAATCCAATCAGGGCCAATTTAACCCAATCTGGGCTTTATAACCCAAATCTGGGCCTGTTTGATCCCAAATGGGGCCTTATAACCACAAATTGGGGCCTGTTTGATGATAATATCAAACTGTTTGACCCCAATCAGGGCCTTTTCACCCCACACTGGGCCTGACACCAATCCTCCAGAACAGCCCAAATAAACCTCGAGAAAATCCCCAAAAACCTCGAGAACATAAAAAAAAACCCTCGAGAACAGCTGAAAAAAACCTAGAGAATATCCCCAAAAACCCTCCAGAACATCCCCCAAAAAACCTCCAAAACCTCCCCAAAATAACCTTGACAACATCCCCAGAAAACCTCGAGAAAAATCCCAAAAGACCTCCAGAACATCCCCAAAAAACCTCCAGAACATCCCCCAAAAATCCTTGAGAACATCCCCAAAAAACCTCGAGAATATCCAAAAAAAACCTCGAGAAAAATCCCAAAAAACCTCAGGAACATCACCAAAAAAAACTCGAGGACATCCCAAAAAAACCTCGAGAATATCCTCAAAAACCCTCGAGAATATCCCCAAAAAAATCTCCAAAACATCCCCAAAAATCTCCAGAAAATCCCCCAAAAAAACTCCAGAAAATCCCCCAAAACCCTCAAGAACATCCCAAAAAAACCTCGAGAAGATCCCCCCAAACCCCTCTATAATAGCAAAAAAAAACCTCGAGAAAAATCCTAAAGAACCTCAGGAACATCCCCCAAAAAATCTCGAGAACATCCCCAAAAAACCTCCAAAACATCCCCAAAAAACCTCGAGAACATCCCCAAAAAACCTCGAGAAAAATCCCAAAAGACCTCCAGAACATCCCCAAAAATCCTCCAAAACATCCCCAAAAATCTCCAGAAAATCCACAAAAAACCTCGAGAAAAATCCCAAAATTCCTCCTGAACATCCCCACAAAACCTCCAGAACATCCCCAAAAAACCTCGAGAAAAATCCCAAAAAACCTCAGGAACATCACCAAAAAAACCTCGAGGACATCCCCAAAAAACCTCGAGAATATCCTCAAAAACCCTCGAGAATACCCCCAAA